CAAAACGAATAACGTCGCAGAAAGCGGTTTTTCCCTTTTTATGGAAAGCTCACCTTTTCCACCCAAGATTATTTTCGCGAATGTTTCATGTCTGGTCTATTTCGTATCCGAAAAGCAAACAAAGCAATTTCTAAAGAATTAGTGGATTTATTATGTAATCCGACATTTTTATTACTTCAAAAGTTATTATAGTTGATATTTTATATTTGAAGTCTTTCAAATATAAAATATCCGTTATATACGTTTGAAGTAATATTACATATATGTATATAGGGACCCCACACCAGAAAAATACCCCTTAGCTAACATAGAGTATAATGCGGAGGACAAAATCTACCAAATTTTAGTGTCTACCCATTGTCCCAGTGCAACTATAGAACTACTAAACAAAGGCCGATTAGTAAGGAAACATATTTCACCGATAAGTCCAAACCCATACTTAATTCATTGCATAAAATAAACTCTACCAAATTCTCCATAACATAAGCGAGATATATAGCCAGTTACGCCCCTTGATTTTCATCTTTTTTATTTGTTCAAAACGTAAGCGTCAACACGTGGTGATAGAAACAGTTAAAAACTCTTTGGAAGCTAAGCGAAACAGGTTAAAGTAAAAAAAGGGAAAAAAAGGAAAATCACAAATTATTTTTCAAAGAAACAAAACTGAAAATTCTTTGCAAAAATTCATATAAGTAAATATCACTATATTAAATATCAGGTGGCTTTTCTTACAATTCTCATTTTAGTCTAACAACATTTTGTACATAATCTTTCTAACATAATCTTATATATATATATATATATATATATATATATATATATATATATATATATATATATATATTGCGTATAACTTGGCAGCATGTTTTCATTAAGATATGTAAAATTAAATATTTTAGACAAGTTTTGTCTTCTCATTTTTAATAAGATCATTTCGTAATGACCGACAATGTTCTAAGTGTCCTTATTAAAGGAAGAAAGAAAATTATCATGTTGAAGTATATTCATTTTATTTCGACTCCTTTCGACATTAGCGCAATGTCGTCATCAGTTTTTGGGGTTTTTTTTTTGTTTTTTTAAGACAAAAATATTTCGTTCATCATTTTCCTCAGACAAAATTGTGTTGTTTATCTGCAAATTAAATTTCCATGCGTGAAGTGAAAAAAAAATTTACACTTGCCTGAGGAGACCTGGCGGTGGAAACCAGGATTGCGTTTTAGGCAATTCTTAAATATCTTAGCTCTACATATTCAGCTTTGAATTTTGTATTGAGCACTTTTTTGCTGTCTATACATATTAGGAACCTTCTCTTTTTAGCTTTCCGTTTATATTTCAATCTTCATATATATATATTCATATATATATATATATATATTAAAATATTAAAAATATTAAAAATTTATCTCCTTGAGACAACTATAACCTACTCTCTCTGTCACACACACACAGACATATATATATATATATATATATATATATATATATATATATATATGTTTCATTAAACAGATTAAAATAACAAAACCTTAATAATAATAAAGAAAAACCTAACACTTAATAATATTAACTACGAACACGGCCACAATGTGCTGTTTTCGGAAAATTAAACATCTGTTTAGCATTAAACACAAACACACAAACGCACCCAATCAATTATATTGAAAAAAATAAAATAAAATCATCCTTGATAATGGCTAAACGTATAGCCGAAAGCGCTTGGAATTATAAAACATTTGGACAGTTTCCACACATTCTGTACCCCAAAAAGAAAATACTTATTCGAACGCAATAAAAAGTATATAAAAAGCGTAATCGTAGTACCTCGTCTGTCGTTTTTAATGAAACATGCATAAATGAAGGATTGCTGCCTAAATATACAACTATCAAATATATATATATGTATCGAGGGAAGAAGAAAAATATGTTCATATTTCGTGAGTAGGTGATTTTCAAGCTTACATTAAAACTTTCAAAACTGACATCTTGTTGACTGCTGCAAACAATCTTCTCACTTCTTTCTCCATATCTCTCTTTTTATCGAACAAAGCTCAGCTTTATAACTCCCTATCTCTCTATGCCTCTCTCTCTTTCTCTCTTTTTTTCAATATATTTTTTATATATATATATATATATATATATATATATATATTGGAAAAAGAGAGAAAGACGTGAGAATATATATATATATATATATATATATATATATATATATATATATATATATATATATATATATATATATTCTAAGAGCGTCCCTCTTTTATTATGGAGTGAACACACACGCAGGTACACTTGTCCGTGCACGCATGCGCATGTGAAGACATCATCCTCATTGTATTGAAACCTTCTCAGACCCTCTGCTGTTTAGCTTCAACAGGGATATGTTTTATGTTAGACATTTCACTGGCTTGCAAACGGACGTCACGACATCACCGCGAGAACTTGACAAACGAGAATAAAACTCAATCTCGCAAGCAATTTGTACGAGTTAGGCCCAAACCAAAATGGCCGACCGTCCAAGCCAAGCGAAGATGGCGGCTGAAGACAGGAAAAGGAAGAGAAAATCGGTAACTGGCGGGGAAAAAGCAGTTAGTGGTGGCGGGAACGGGGGTCAGGCTGTTAGTCTTTGTCGAGAAAAACGTCATCACTCTTAATTGGGATTTGGTTCGAGTTTTGGCTGGGATGAGGTGAAGGAAAGGGGTTGTTTGGAGATGAGGCGATGGTTGGGTTTGGGGTGGTATAATAAAAGCAAGAAAAAGGGAACATTCACATCGAAGCGTGGAAAATGGATGTCCAGAAAAGAAAAAAAATAGATGATGCCGTCTGAGGGCCAAAAGTGGTGTTCTGCCCGAATGAATGTCTGGTAGTCGAGAGGCTGAACAGGGAGTGCGTGAAAACAAATGAAAATGAAAAAGAAAACATTAGCTACGAATCTTTCTACAGTTGGGTGTACAGAAATAAATCAATTTAATTTTATTCATATTTTCTGTTTGTCGCCATGATAGAGAGATGTGGTGTGGACAGGGGAATCAACACTGCATGATGACTGTCAGCGTCACGCCTCAATTGACCTTCAGAGAGTTTCAAGGATACTTGGGGTATGATATTCAGATGGTTGTAAGATTGCTTAAATCATAAAACTTACAATCAGCATGCTGTATTGATTTTTATGTACGCACACTTTCTATATATACACGCTCCATCTCAGATACTGAGCAATATTCACCTATAAATATAGCAAATTTTGAACAATATATATATATTTTATTCAAACATATCTGCTCTGAATTTTACATTGAGATCTCTGGATATGAAACCTCCTCAGGTCTACCCATACGGATTACCTAAATTTTAAACTATATATATAATATATATATATATATATATATATATATATATATATATATATATATATATATATATATATATGAAATGCACAAAAGTCCGACAATTATTTTAAGATATTTTTATGTTTATACGTTCTTTTTATAAATACAAATATTTAAGTACAGTGTAACCCGGATATAAGAGACCCGGATATAAGAGAAACCCAGATATAAGAGAGATTTTCTCTGGTCCCAAATTAGAGCCTGTGTTAATGTATATAAAATAGACCAAACCCTGGATATAAGAGAAACCAGGATATAAGAGACTTCTTCTCCGGTCCCGACAACTCTCTTATATCCGGGTTACACTGTAAATGCTCTGTTTATAATAATCAGTATTAAACAACATTTACCGGCCTGAATGTCCGAGAAATTTTCATAGAAAATATGCGTCCTCCGACAGGAATCGAACCTGTATCCTATACGGAACCGTCATATAGCCTGACATAAAAAAAAATGTCTTGAAATAATTGTCGGACTTTGTCCATTTCATAATGTGTGACGTCATTTGTTTACATTTGGATACGCATCTAGTAGATATGAATGTATGAGTGTGTGTGTGTATATATATATATATATATATATATATATATATATATATATATATATATATATATATATATATATATTTCTATCAGAAGAACAGTCCACTTCCAATTTTAAAATTTGAAGCAGAAAACCTACCTTCGTCATCCATTTCACGGCTGTGAACCAATAACCAAGAAGCTCAAATCAAGTCCCAGCTTTCTTCATTCAGTCGAAGCAAAGAACTACACAGCTCCTAGTCAGAAATTTAATTAAGAGCGTAGAACATAGGCTCTCTCTCAGCCCTACGCAATCCTAATACCTCCAGTGATACCTGACCCTTCTAGTCCTGCCTGTATCACCTCCGAACAGCTGTTGATCGCTGTAGAGCCAAACTTCAAAAATGGTTATATATAACCGATGCTGATTCCAACTACCAATGAGGGCAATCACAGACTATGGAACATCTTCTAGTTTGTCCCAATCTTGAAAATCAATGCACACTTAACGATTTTGAAACCTTAACATCCCAGCCAAGGCTCTGTGTGCAACACTGAATCGGTTTGGTCTAGTGGATCGATAAGATCAACAGAATATCAGCTAATAATAAATCTTTGTTGGTTTTCTAGTTTTCTTCGAATTGTCTCGCTGTAGATAATAAATCACGTGGGAAAACTTACGTTTCTTTTAGTCTTTTTTTATATATATATTGATATACTTACTTAACTATAACTTAAGTCGAATCCATTATATTCACTTACGTGCTAATACCCTTGGGAAAGGTGTGAATCCTTTTCTTCTGCCTTCAGCTATGGGTAAATAGCAGGACAGACTGGGATCTATAGACTTGGATGGCAACTGGTCAAGGAGAAAGTCAACTCTGAATTCAAAACCTGCGGAGAGTCGTTTGGGGACCTTTGTGGCACGTAGTGCACCAAGTCTCTGTATTCGGCCCTTCAAAACCTTCACCACTAGAATCAAATCTCATGTGCTGGTGTCTGGGATGTCGGTCCCTAGGAACTAAACTGCTTGACCCTCATACGTCGAATACGACGGAGAGTCCCTATATATATATATATATATATATATATATATATATATATATATATATATATATATATATGACGATTGCGACCAGCATGAAAAATATAATAATCAAATCTCATGTGCTGGCGTCGGGCTGTCAGTTTCCTAGGAACTGATCTGCTTGACTCTCATACGTCGAATTCGACTGGAGAGTATATATATATATATATATATATATATATATATATATATATATATATATAATATAAAATATATATGAAAAAAACAGAAAAAACAAAAATCTGAATATGCAATTATGTAGTATTAATGTTAAAATAAAGTCGACGTCGGACGTTTCGGTCTATTTAAGACCATCTTCATGGACATTTTCATTTAAACATAATTAACATTAGAACTTATAAAAATTTAACACAAAAGACGATGGACATAAGAGCCCAACTAATCCAAACAGATAACTGAAATTTTATACAGATCAGCGTTAACATTAATACTACATAATTGCATATTCAGATTTTTGTTTGTTTTTTCTGTATTTTTCTTTCATACTGTCGGATCTATATCCATATATTTGCTCACATATATATATATATATATACTCGCTGTAGATAATAAATTCCGTGGGAAAACTCACGCTTCTCCTAGTTTTTTTTTTTTTTTGATATCCTTACTTAACTAGAACTTAAGTGGAACATCTACGACAAACTCAAGCTCATTCCTGACCTCATTTAGAACTCACATGGGTCATCGCTAAAGGTGCTGCAAAAATAGTCGGTTTCTTGTACCGTTCTAATAAATATCTGATTCCTTCTGCCATGTTCTAGCTTTATTAGAGTCAGATCAGACCAAATATTGTTTACGCTTTGATGATTTATCTTCCACCCTACAACCCATTTCCCCCAGACGAAAAGTTCCTAACTTTTTCTGCTATACTACCATTATATCCATAACAGATGTTCAGACAATTTAGTCTTTATTTCTACCAGTTCAAACCTTCACACTTAATGCTATGCCACGTACACAGAGTTGAATCATATTCATTCCATTCATATTCCATTTGTAAGGAGGCAGTTCCCCTCAGACAGCTGACCTGTTACTTTGTGAAACAGACTTCCAAGGGAATGCTTCCTCCGATCTCAACCTCTTCAAATCTTGGCTCGGCGGTTTGCTGGCGTACATATCTTCCCTCCTTGTACGCTCTTATACCAACCACATTTAATGACACTCTAACTTGAGTGGCTCTTGGATCTTTTATTAAGTAAATAGTATAAATAGTATAAAAATTCTCTGAGCCCTACACTGGAGGCAGTCAGAGGCATTCTGTAGGGCTCAGAGAATTCTGATCTTGTCTGAATCGCTTCTCAACTGCCGTTGGTCGCCGTATAGCCAACCTTCAGAAATGGGGATATGCTACCGACATTGATCTCAACTGCCAATGTGGACAATCACTCACTATGACACGTCTTCTAGCTTGTCACAATCGTGAAGATTCATGCACACTTAAATATCTTGAAACCGTAACACCTCCAGGCAGGGTCCTGTGTCCAACACTGGACGAGAACGTTGTAACAACTCGATAAGAACATATATATATATATATATATATATATATATATATATATATATATATATATATGGGGTCTGTAAATATATTGATAAAATAGGACATAACCGTTATATTGATGATCCGAATTTCTTTAGTATTTTTAAAAAACAGTGCTCGATACACAAGTAGAGCCTAGATTATAACTATTATTTATTTTTAAATATGATTCATGAAATATAGTAAAAATATGATTCATGAAACATGGTAATTCCTGTGGAGCGATGAAATCATATTTTTAAAAAATATTAAAAAATATTGTCTTTTTCTACAGGTTAACTCGGAGAAAGTTTTCATATATATGATAGAAATTATTAGGCCGTTTTGAGACAATCAGAATTAAGTAATTCATCGAGTCTAGAAGAAACCTCAGAAAAATGCAGAAAGCACTGTACGACCGTTTCGTCCTATATTTGGGACTCATCAGCAGTGCGCATCCATATATATGTTATACATCTATTATATATAATATATATATAATATTATATATAATATATATTATATATCAAATACATATCATTCATATATATATATATATATATATATATATATATATATATATATATATATATATATATATAATTATTATATTTGAGATAATTATAATTAAGTAATTCATTAGGATTAGAAGAAACCTCAACAGAATGCAGAAAATATATATATATTAGCTCTGTATTCACATTGAGCTCTCAGGATTTCATCCTCCTGGAATTACCTATCTGGTTTACCAGGTTCTTCGTAATATATATATATATATATATATATATATATATATAATTACCTAATTTTCGGGTTATGGGTTGGTTCGGAAGACAGGGGAAGATTAGAGATTAAGAAATTGAATCCAGAGATATATATGCAGAACAGTCTTCCCAAGAATATATATAAATATATATATATATATATATATATATTATTATATATATATATATATGGTGGTAGTAGGATGTAGAATATTATCCGAACAAAAATGGAAATAGTGAGACAAAGAGCAAAAGCTTTTTTTCTTTTTCTTTTTTTTTTTTTTTTTTTTTTTTTTGACAAACAACGTCTTTCGCCTTCGTGTGGTAGTCAGTTCAAAAATGAATGACAAACCTGAGAAAAGTGATTCGGATTTTTTTAGGAAAGGGTAATGATCTAAAAGTGCTTTTTTAATTTAATTTTATTTTTGTTGTGTGGTAAATAAGAAAGGTTGGCGCACATATAGAAAATAAGTAGTAGCTTATTCCGGCGAATAATTTGGTACACGGTTGAGATCACAGTTGAGAACACAGACTAATGTAATAAACAGCTAATCATCAACTCCTCGGTATTTTACCGAGACCTCCCCACAAGGCGGGATTTGGCACAAGGCCGGGTTTTAAAGTGGAGCTTTCCGAACGCGTACGATCAGGTAAAAATTCCCCGTAGATTTAGCATGCACGGGGTCAGGCTGCTGTCTACCTCCGCAGACGATGCCCGTTGGCATATCTTCGTCTGAGTTCCTCCCCGTCCGAAGGCAGAGAGTCGACAAACAGAATACCGATTAAACGTTAACTCGGTATTTACCCAAGCTGCCCACAGAGCAGGATATGGCACAAGTTTTACGTGGGTTTTTCAGATCCCGTAGGCCCGGGCAAAAATTCCCCGTAGATCCCGTAATAACGGGGTCGGGCATGTCTACCTCCCCAGACGAGACAGCCCTTTGACATTGCCTCGTCTGGGTTCCTCTCCGTGAGAAGGCAGAGTGTCGACAAGCAGAGTAACGATTAAACATTAATTCGGTATTTACCCAAACTCCCCACAGAGCAGGACATGGCACAAGTTTAACTTGGGTTGCTGTGTCTTAGAGGATATGATTAAAATAACACTATTAGGGGAGAGAACAATAAAATAACAATAATTAAGAAAACAGGAAATAGCGATTGTCATTGCACTTAAATTACCAACACAATGTACCGATCTGTTGTATCCTAAATAGCAAAGGATGACACACATATAGAAAGTAAGAGTAGTTTATTCCGGAAATTAATATGGTACACGGTTGAGAACACAGACTAATTAATTAACAGCTGATCGTCAACTCGTCGCTATTTACCCGTAACCTTCCCACAAGGCGGGATGTGGCACAAAACCGGCTCTTAGTTTTTCGAACGCGTACGCTAGGGCAAAAATTCCCCATAGACCTCGTACACATGGGGTCGGGTTACTGTCTACCTCCATAGATGAAACCCTACCCTTCGCCATAGCCTTGTCTGGGTTTTTCTTTGCCCGGAGAGAGAGAGACACCGACAAGCTCTAAGAGTGAGTCGTTAAATCCTCGGTATTTATCCAAGATCTGCCCACATGGCAAGATGTGATACAAGGCCGGTTTTTAACGTCGGGTTTTCCGAGCGCTTACGTTTGAGTGCAAATTATTACCCGCAGATCCCGCGTAAATGAGTTCGTGCAGCTGTCTACCTCCCCAGACGAGAGAGTGCTGTTTAAATAGTCTTAGACCAATCCATCTTGTGGGGGTGTTCAGCTACTCCATAACAATTTTTGCTGTTTTTTTTTTTTGCATTTTTATTGTTGTTTTTTTTTCTTTTTGTACAGTAGCCGTTAATGTCTGATGGATTTGAAATTAACCCACTCTGTTTTTGTTTCTCTATTAGTTCGTATAACTCGTTGTACAACTAATACTTCTGCGATGAACAGCGATATTGTGTAGGAACCGGGTCTGTAGTATATTGTGGCGAACCGTGAGATCTGCACACTTTTAATGTATTTTCTTCCTTGTGAATTCTTTCTCTTCTTATCTGACTGTCATTATTGAGGTCGAAAAACAGTGAACTTTAATATATTTAAAGGGTCATTCTGCAGCATATTCCATGCTCATATATCTTTTTTTTATTAGATTTATAGATGTTTCACCGATGTATATTGTTAAGCATTTTGTGCTATTTATTTTGTATTGCTGACTATGTCCCGTTATCGTTGCTATCTCGTTTAGTGCTAAGTATGTCTCCTATTGTTTTTTGGTGTTGATGAATTTTAGATCAAGAACGGATAAGTCATTTTCGAAGGTGGAGTTGGTGATCAGAAAGAAGCATACAAAAGTAAAAAGAAACAAAAAGAAACAAACGAGAAAGAAAGAAAGAAAGAAAGAAAGAAAGAAAGAAAGAAAGAAAGGAAGAAAGAAAGAAAGAGAATAGCAAAACGGAAGAAGAGAAATAAAAGAAATAATAAAATAATAAAATAAAGAATTGAAGAAAAAAGAAAGACACAAGGAAAGAAAGAAACGTATGAAAATAAACATATGCATAGAAATTCAAACAATAATAAATGAAAATCTAATTATAAACCTAACCTCCTACAATTAATACTCTAATAGCACTAAAGATACCACCAGATCAAATCATAAAAATGAAATAATGGCCAAGGGAAGACATAAATAAATATTAACTTTATTATTTAAGCATTAAAATTAATTATTTGAGCCAAAAAATAAATAAATACATTTTTCTAGAAAATACAAAGACAAGAACGCTTGAAAATTAACAATGACCACACGTTTAGAAAACCGGAAATCGAAATGTCTACAATTGAAAGAAAAGAGGAATAAAAGAGAGAAATGGTTAAAGAGTGAATGTAAAGTGAAAAACAAATCGACGACACGGACAAATAATCACTCCATTCTACACTTACGCATATGCGCTCAGACGGCCGAACACACACATACACTATGAAAGAAAAAACAACTTGTACCAATTAAAAGCGCATATAAAAAGGAAAATCGAGAAGAAGAAACAATCAAGAATAAGCTTATAACCCTTGACGAGTTGACGGTGTAATTCCCAGAGAGTCGGTCTACGAAAACCGTGAAAGTCGGGGTGTCGAAGGTAACATCAGTCAGCTAAGTGACAAACCTTTTACTTATATTATTTCTCTCTTTCTCTATCTCTATCTCTCCTTCTATGTATTTATGAAGAATGCCGTCTGGAATAAAAACGGCTAAAGCGGTGATTTCGAATCGGTGATAACCATGGAGTCAGCGAGAGTTTCAGGGACTGGATATGTGATTTCTGTCAGCGTATACTCCTTTCAAAGGGTGGATGGGTGAATCATGTGAAGTCACATAAAGAAAAAAATCACCCTTGACATTCTCCAGAGACAGTGTCACAGCTTGCACGCTGTGTAACACGATATGCAAAACCAGCTCCGGACTGAAAAGGCCCATGGTTGTGCACAGGAATCAGGCACAGCGGTGTGAATCCATCAAGGTTGTGGCAAGCACATTGTTCATCCGTCATATGTGTAACAAGTCATACAAGTCCGCAACAGGCCTGACAAGTCACCTTCGGAATCATGCACGACAGATGTGCGAGGCGGCCATCATCTCTGAAGATGCGGCCTATCGTTACATATATATATATATATATATATATATATATATATTGATGCATGTTTCATTAAATAATATAGACGAGTTTTTTTTTCTATTTATTTTAAGTAAATTCCTTTCGTGTTGTCTGATAAGCTTTATAACATTATCATTGACAGATGAAAGAAAATCCCCATATTGATACATGTTTTTAAATCCTATCTAAGCTTTCGGCAAAGATGGCATTGCATTTCAATATATTGAACAATATACGGACAAAACAATAATGTTTTTGTTGCATGAAAGATTTCCAAGCAACGACAAATTCGTGTATACGAGACACAGAAGCGAAAATCACACTGCAGATCGTGACGTCACACATGATCGGGCGAGAGTGAATTCAAGAAGTATTAAGTATGGGAAGCCGTTGGTATCAACGAATGGCTTCTGTTATCAATTATAGACATTTAAGAATATTTGTTGAGATTTAATAGTTTATTTTGTTCAGGTTAGGTTTCAACTGTTTTATGTATATAGCTTCAAGAATATTTAGTTTTTGTTTATTGTTTTCATGCTTAAGTATAGTTGTGTTTTCAACGAGGATTTTCTGGAATTGTGTACGCGGCCAGGCATGTTGTTTTAAATGCCTAAAATTGTTAGAGTTATCATTCAAATGTAGAGTCAAGCGTCGTGAAAGCGAATTTGTGGTGTGACCAATATAAATATTATTATTGGCGATACAATCTCACAAAGAACACTCGAATTTATAAACTATGTTGTTTTTTTGAAAATCGCTAACGGTGCAGGTGAAGAATCATTGCGATTAATTGAGTTGGATATACTAGAGTTAGTGTAGTATATGATTAAGTTTTTCTAGAATAATATTATTAAACTTATCAGACAATATGAAAGGAATTTACTTAAAATAAATAGACATAACTTGTCTATATTGTTTAATTAAACATGCATTAATGAAAAAAAATATATATATATATATATATATATATATATATATATGTTTGGTTGAATAATCTGAACATATGTCTATTTTTATTTTAAAAACTTCCGAATTCTCGGACCAGCTTCTTAATGTTGATATTAAATTCATTAAGGGAGGCGCCGTAGTTTTTTTTTTTGTTTTTTTTTAGTTTCTTTTATTTCCCCAAGTACTTTCAATCTCATCCAAGATCATCTCCAGTGTTGAATTACATTAATTTTTCCACAAGAACGACTTTTACAAACGTTTGGCAGAACAGGGATTAGGAGTGATAGCAAAAAGATAAACTTTACTAATAACTATAAAGAAAAGGAAATTGTGGAGATCCATGATTGCCCACGTCCTGAAAGGACACGACATAGAAGGAAAAGCAGAAAATGAAGACGAAGAACGAGCTTCAGTAAATGGTTGTCACAACAGGGATTAGGAGAGATCGCAAAAAGTCAAAATTTAGTAAGAGCTATAAAGGACAGGAAATTGTGGAGGGCCATGATCGCCCACCTCCTGAAGGTGGAAGGCAGAAAGAAGAATCTACTTAAATGTACTTAAATTTGCCTGCGTGCTTGTGTTTGTTTGTTTGTGTGCGTGTGTGTGTGTGTGTGTATGTGTGTGTGTGTATGAATGCAGGAATTGAGAGACTTTTGTATCGCACTCTTCTAGCAGAATCTGATTTTCGTAAATCGAGTTCCACTTGAGATCACATCTCCAACAGCGAGTTAGCTGGAGAGTGTTGATTAAGCAAGGGGGTGTATGACATATATACCCACCTACCCCACGCACCCGACCGACACGCAACCAAGAAATGGGGACGAAAGGAGGGCGCTGACGGCTGAGCACAGACTTCCGCACCATTATTAAGAAAGCGATGTATACAGACACCGATCAATGCTAATCAGCGTGGATTAGATTATTTAAGGATTAATAACGACAAATCAAAACCGGGGAGGAGACGGTAAGGGTCAAAGTCTTTAATCTCTATTGCGAATCTGGAGGGTGAGGAAGGGTGGGGTTGAAGAGAACTGCCGATGAGCCGATCTTTTATGGGAGCAGGGTCAGGAAATTATGAATCTGGAGATGAAGAGCGAAATGTGTTACGAAGAATAGATAGATAGATAGATAGATAGATAGATAGATAGATAGATTGAATGAACAGACTGCGATAGATAGATAGATATGAACAGACTGTGATAGATAGATAGATAGATAGATAGATATGAACAGACTGCGATAGATAGATAGATAGATAGATAGATATGAACAGACTGTGATAGATATGAACAGTGATAGATAGATAGATAGATAGATAGATAGATAGATAGATATAAACAGACTGTGATAGATAGATAGATAGATAGATAGATAGATAGATAGATGAAAAGGACAATCAGCAAAAGAGAAGGGAAAGAAAGAAAGGACTTAAAAAACGAATCTATAAAGAATGAAATATGATGAAAAACAAAATCATTGCCATATTAAGAAAGAAAGAAAGAAAGAATCCAAAATGGAGGACATTTTAAAAAGAAAAAAAGGGAGATAATAGAAGAAATTAATAAAAAGCAAAGTTTGAAAAAGAAAAAGTAAAAGAAAAGAAGCGTAACAAAAGAAAGAAGGGAAAAAAGAAAGAAAAAAAGAAAAATGGTGAATAAATCGAAGGCAAACGGAAGGTCTCGACAGGAGTGGGTGACAAGCACACATACAGACGGATGAACGAGATTTGACGGAGAGGGAAAAACAGAGTCGAATGTGGTGGGACGGTGTTGGGAGCGAATACTGAAAAGAGCCAGGCTCTACGAATTTGACTGAAAGGAATCATTTGAAAAAGACAAACAGCTCAGGGTAGAGAGGATGGAGATAGTGAGGTTGGAGGTCGGGGTGGAGAGCATAGGCCTGTTAAATTGTGGGGCGGAGTCAATAAAATGATGAGTGGAGGTCCAAGGGGGCAGATATATCGATATGTACGAGGTTAGGGGTGAAATACGACAGAGATAGGAAATGAAGTATTATGATGAAGATGAAGTAGGTAGATGGGTTGGCTGTTCGGTCTTACTCTCGCTGTTTAGAAAGGCGGAAGAATATCTATTATAATATTAAAGAAAGACTGGTGCCGTAAATTGTACTTTTTGTTTAGCTGTAGAGGCGGGCTTTTTTGTGGGGGGGTCTTTTTTTTTTTTTTTTGTTTCTTGGGCGGAGGTAGGGTGGACAAAATATGGTGGGAGGGACAGTATTTTTTTTTTTTTTTTGAATTGGTGATATTTGAAAAAAAATGTCTTCGTAATACTTCTAGCCTTTTAAGAAGGAAAAAAGGGGGCGCCATGTAGGAGGAATTCGATGACTAGGATGTATTATGAAAATAAATGTTGTCGACGGTCTCTCTTGGCGAGAACAGGTTGAAAAGGATTTATAAAATGAAAGAAAGAAGTAAACAAAAAAAATGAACAAAAATAAACAAAAGAAAGAAAGAAAGAAAAGCAAAATAATCAAGAAGAGAATAAAAGAAATTGAACAAAAAGAAAATGGGCAGGAAAGTAAGCAAATGAAAGTAAAAGAAGGGAACAAAGAAAAGAAAGAGCCAAAAACAAGAAAGAAAGAAAGAAAGAAAGAAAGAAAGAAAGAAAGAAAGAAAAGGAAGAGGCAAAAAAGAAGGAAAAAGAAAAGAAAGAACAAAACAAAAGAAAGAAAGAAAGAAAGAAAGAAAGAAAGAAAGAAAGAAAGAAACTGTAGTAGAAATAATAAACACGTGGCTAAAAGAAACAAAGACAAAGTGTTGAGAGGAACAGAATAAGAAATAACGAATATGTGATTAGCAGAAGAAAGAAAGAAAGAAAGAAAGAAAGAAAGAAAGAAAAGAAGGAAAAGAGAAAAGAAAGAACAAAGCAAAAGAAAGAAAGAAAGAAAGAAAAGGAAGAGGCAAATAAAAGAAGGAAAAAGAAAAGAAAGAAAGAAAGAAAGAAAGAAAAGGAAGAGGCAAATAAAAGAAGGGAACAAAGAAAAGAAAGAGCCAAACAAAAAAAAGAAAGAAAGAAAGAAAGAAAGAAAGAAAGAAAGGAAGAGGCAAAGAAAAGAAGGAAAAGAGAAAAGAAAGAACAAAGCAAAAGAAAGAAAGAAAGAAAAGGAAGAGGCAAATAAAAGAAGTGAAAAGAAAGAAAGAAAGAAAGAAAGAAAGAAAGAAAGAAAGAAACGGGAGTAGAAATAATAAACACGTAGCTAAAAGAAACAAAGACAAAGTGTTGAGAGAAAGAGAATAAGAAATAATGAATGAGTGATTAGCAGAAGAAAGAAAGAAAGAAATAAAGAAAGAAAGAAAGAAAGAAAGAAAGAAAGAAAAGGAAGAGGCAAAGAAAAGAAGGAAAAAGAAAAGAAAGAACAAAACGAAAGAAAGAAAGAGAGAGAGAAAGAAAGAATCATGTCAGGAAAAGGAAGAAAGAAAGAAGAGAATAAAAGAAAGAATGAAACATAGAAAAGAAAGAAGAAAATTACAAAAGCGAGTCGAAAGGCACGAACGAAAGCAAAGAAAGCCATTTCGGGGAATTAATACAGAGGAATGCTTTTGTAGATTCATTTCACACATTTTTCACCTTCAATCGTTGTTTAGGAACTGTTACGAAAATTTTGAAATGGAAACTCCTTTCTTTAAATAAGAATTCCCTATTTTATTAAGTTGTAAAATTTTTTTTAAAAAAATCACTTAGTTCATTTCTAATTATCACTAAACTAATTTTTCACATTATCACTTTTCAGAACTGCGGTTATATTGGCTTACGCAAAAAGTTTCTATATCGGAACCTTCTTCAGCCTTTCTTCTTACTCAAAGCACAAATATTTTAATGATAGAATTTACGTTTATACAAATTAAAACCGTTTTCGCCAACCGAAATATTTTGTTCCAAACTACAGAATAACAATTATTTCCAAATTACTTAAAGACGAATAAGAGTGTATTTCAGGATATGCAGAGGTTGGAAATACATCAACAAATGCTATTTAATCACAACGCCCCAAGGAAGGTGATACTACCACTAAGAGGTATAGGGTTACTAAGAATTTTTTTTTTTTTTTTTACGGTCAGGTTAGCCCTGTGCAAGGCCTGGGGCGACTCAAGGTAGGTTACATCAAGAGGCAGTTTATACGGATAGAAGGTAACATATATCCCTCGACTTGAACTTTGAATTTGGAATTTACTTTTTACCTATGGAATACGGGGGGAATGAATGAAAGAGAATAAAAAAAAATCTTTAGTGAGACAAAAGAAAGGTAAAATAAAAGAACTGAATATAGAAAGATGGAAGATGGCAATTAACGTTGCATTTAATTTTTTGAAGATCGTAACCGAGAGGAAAAAAAACAGAAGAGAAATTCCCCAGATGAGAAGTTCTAGCAAAGAAACCATGACATTATTTACATTATTCGGACAATTGTCCTCATCTTTGTCACCATATTTATTACAACGTTTCGGCACATATGCAAGGCCACAAAAATCTCCTGATCCGACCAAGCATAGAAATGAATACAATATGGGAACCAGTAATAAGGACTGCCAGAGAAAAGCGATAATAACAACAAAAATTGCAATATGAGCTCTGGTAAAAACATATATGATCACAGCAAAAATTGCAATATGAGCACTGGTAAAAAATGGTTGCTGAAGACATTAGGTTTATAACACCCAGAAATTTATACACTGATGTCCTCAGTGGATAAAGGCGTTAGTTAGATCCAGTGACAGGCCCAAATAGTGTGAGTTCAATACCAGGTTAAAGCGGTGGAGAACTTGGAGAGGGGAATTAACAGGAGATAACTGACAAGTGACACCCATTAAAACATGGCACGTGGAACTAGAACAGTCTACCCCAGTGAGACATTCCAACCACCTGAAAAACGGCCGAAACGTTGTAAGATGAGGACAATAGTCCGAATGATGTAAATAATGTACATAATACCTCATCTCAGAAATATAGACAGATACTGAAAGGCCAAAACATTATAAAAAATATGAGGACAATAGTCCGAATAGTTTAAATAGTGTAAAGATCCTTGTGGCGTACTTTGTCGAGTCTACTGAAACTGCTCAGCAACCTTGATATATTTGGGAGGGATATCAGAATAATCAAGAACCTATACTGGCAACAAACAAACAACTTGCATAGGCATAGGGCATACAAAAATAGAAAGGACCGTAAGGCAAGGATGCGTCTTCTCACCAGACCTGTTCAACGAGGCAATTCTGAGAGAATTGGAAACCCTACCGGCCACAATCTTAACAACATAAGATGACACAGTGCTGATAGCAGACACGGAAAAGAAATTACAAAATCTCCTACAGAAAATAGTGACGAAGAGTGAGAAGAAAGGACTAAGCATAAACTACAAGAAGACAGAATGCATAGTCATCAGTAAGAGGAAGAGCCCAAAATGCGGTTTGCAGGCTGGGAACACAAGAATCAAGCAGAACCAGAAGATTAAATCTTCTTGACAGAGAACGGTAAGTGCGACACTGAGATGGCCAAGGACACATTCCAAAAGGTGAGCAGGGTATTGCGAGACAGGAGAAGTTCTTTGGTGACATCTGTCCTTCTTTACGGCAGCGAATGTTGGACGATTTCCTCAAAGATGAAGAAGAGACTCGTTCTACAGAAGGATGCTAAGGATATCACGGACTGAGCGTGTGAGCAACGATGAGATCTTAGAAAGGTTGCAAACAAGGAGGAGGCTTATAATTAATATCAGGAAGAGGCAGCTGAAGATTTTGGGGCACATAACGAGGAAAGGAAGGCCTGGAGAATCTGATACTCACGGGTCGAATAGAAGGAAAAAGAGACAAGGAAAAACAATGCCTGACATACCTGGTGGCAAGTGGATGACAAGTGGAGGAAGTAGAAGGAAGGAACTTGTTGAGAGCTGCAAGGGATAGAGGGAGGTGTGGAGAGCCATGATCGCCTATGTATAGAATAGACATGACACATAAAAAACGGAAAAAATTATAAAAAGCTACTCAATGAATAAGATTTGTTAGATCATTTGATAGATCATAAGTAACAGAAACAAAAAATAGATAAGTGTGTATTATGAAATGGACAAAGTCCGACAATTATTTTAAGACATTTTTCATGTTTATACATTCTTTTTATAGATACAAATATTTATGCAAATGCTCTGTTATTAATAAACAGTATTAAACAACATTTACCCGCCTGAATGTCCGAGAAACTTTCATAGAAAATATGCGTCCTTCGACAGGAATCGAACCTGTATCCTATACGGAACTGTCATATAGCCTAACGTGCTTTTACTGATTTCGCCACAGAGGAGCGATTTGGTCACCAAGGTCGATTTTACTGTTTTTAAACTACGATTCTCCATGATTTTCTCTCGTAGATTCATATCTGCTCGATGCGTATCCAAATGTAAACAAATGACGTCCCACATTATAAAATGAACAAAGTCCGACAATTATTTTAAGACATTTTTTCTGTTTATACGTTATTTTTATAGATACAAATATGTTTACATTTGGATACGCATTGAGCAGATATGAATGTACGAGAGAAAATCATGGAGAATTGTAGTTTAAAAATAGTAAAATCTACCTTGCTAACCGAAACGCTCCTCTGTAGCTAAATCGGTGAAGGCACGTCAGGCTATATGACGGTCCCGTATAGGATACGGGTTCGATGCCTGTCAGAGGACGCATATTATCTATGAAAATTTCTCGGACATTCAGGCCGGTAAATGTCATTGATACTGTTTATTATAAGCAGAGCGTTTACTTAAATATGTGTATTTATAAAAAGAACGTATAAAAATAAAAAATGTCTTAAAATAAGTGTGTATATAACACCATAATACTGCTCGGCACAAATTATAAGACAAATGTCTGCATTGATTATTGAAAATCGCACTATTGCATTCTATAAGATACTAGCAGTTGAGCCCGGCGTTGCCCGGGGATGTAACAGTAAGAGATAGATCAAGTATCGACCATCATAAAGACTGAAAAATAAAATTGACAAAGATTATTGTTTAAGGTTGACGGACACGCATGTCTTAATTAGTTTTTTTTTTTTTTTTTGTTTTTTGGGGGTTTTTTTTACGAATTGGTCAAACCCAAACTCAAACAAAAACATTGTTTTCAATCGTTATGAGACTATCGATTGAATAGAATTTTATTATAAATAATTGTCTTGTAAATGGAATTTTTAAAGCATTCTGAATGTAAAAATAAAGAAAAAAGTGTGCAAGACAATAAGAAACAGTACCTGCCAAAAAAAGTTGAAGTTTTGTAGAAATCGTTTGAAAAATGTAGGAAATCCGATCCCATATATAAACGAACACACACACACAAACAACCTGGGTTTTATAATAAGTATAACTCGATATGAGTTGTCCCACATTCTTTCTGGCGACAGAATCGTGTTTTATCGTGTTTTCAAATTGATTTCGTGCAAAAACAATTCTGTTTTTCCAATTTTTGGCGGTGTCAGAACCACCGCTAGGTAATTTTACGTAGTCCTGTGAAGTATAGTTGAAATCGGTTGAAAAATGTAGGAAATCCGATCCAATATATAAACGTACAGACACACACACACACACAATCTGCGTTTTATAATAAGTAAAATTACATCATAATATAGCAAAATTATTTAGTATCATTTCGCATAAAAAGAAAGTCCCTTGCATCTTAGTGGCATTATTGCTCTCCTTGGGTATAAATTGAGTTATAGAAAAAAAACTTACGTTTGCATCTAGCTATTTCAACATTAAAACTTCTGAGGTCTAGTGGCTAGTACTCTTCTTCTTCTATATGCCATGTCCCTTCAGGACGATGATAATCATGGCTCTCCACAATTTCTCTAATCATATATTCCAGCTTGTTAGTAAGGTTCTCAGCTCTTATCCTCTATCTCTCTTCCCTTCAATCTGTCCTGTGAGTGTTAAATTTTCCGAGACGTCTTTCCTCATTGGCTTAGAAATTTGTTCATTGCTCACATGTTTACTGCAGGGTATTCTCAGCATCCTCCTGTAGAACCACATTTCTGATGGCTGAAGTTTCTTCTTCATCTGTGAGGGGATAATCCAGCATTCATTGCCATATATGAAGACCGGTTGGTGAGATTAAATTCATACAGTCGACGCACCAATGAGGAGAGATAATCAGAGCAATTACCATGAAAGTATTTATGGAAAAAAGACAGAGGAAAGCCACGTCACGATACGTGGTTAAGTGACTAAAATCGAGATACCATGTCAGGAACCGCAATATTACATACATTTCTTTGAACTTTGTCGAAAATCTAGAGATTAGATATTATCATGCATATGGAATTTCCGGTTTCTTGCTTTCCAGCCAACTTTGATCTTCCAAAATTTAAATGCAATGTCAATCGTTATCCCTTGCCTTCTTGATTCCTCTTCTTTTATTGTTCTCGCTCCTTAATAATTTTTTTTTCTTTTTCTTATTCTTTCACACTCAAGAACCCCTTGTGTCTTAGTGGCTTTATTGCCTTGCTTGGGGTGAATTGATTAAAAACATTCATTTTCTCTTGTTTTGTTTTATGATATTTACAGGCTAAGTAAATATATTTAAATAAATAAAAATAGAACATAAAAATAAATCTTCAGTCGCAGTTTTGTTTTAACGTGTGACTCATGTACCGTGCGATACAATATATATATATATAGATATAGATATAGATAGATAGATAGATAGATAGATAGATAGATAGATAGATAGATAGATAGATATAAAGGTGTGCAAAAGTAGGTATGCAGTTATTAAAAACAAAAGGTCAGCACAAAATGTATTGATTATACAAATATATCAATAATATTTTTACTATTTACATTATTTGGAAAGTCGTACTCATTTTTATTGTTACATTCCTAACGTTACGACCGTTGTATGCCCCGACCTTCTTTAGGTAATACTGGTTCCCATCTCCAGAGTTTATCTATAAGTTTACCATTTGTCCATGCTTAGAATATACTGCCACATATCGTGCGGTGCTCCTGCTATATATCTAGAGACCCCTGATAAAATCCAAAGAAGAATCTATCTTACATATTTATAAGTTTCATCCTTGCTTTGAATATTGCCGCCACATCTGGTCCGGTGCTTCTGCTATATATTTAGAGATTCTTGATAAAATCCAAAGAAGAATCTATCTTACATATTTATAAGTCTACCATTCATCCTTGCTTTGAATATTGCTGCCACATCTGGTCTAGTGCTTCTGCTCTATATTTAGAGATTCTTGATAAAATCCAAAGAAGAATCTATCTTACATATTTATAAGTCTACCATTCATCGTTGCTTTGAATATTGCTGCCACATCTGGTCTGGTGCTTCTGCTATATATTTAGAGATTCTTGATAAAATCCAAAGAAGAATCTATCTTACATATTTATAAGTCTACCATTCATCCTTGCTTTGAATATTGCTGCCACATCTGGTCTGGTGCTTCTGCTATATATTTAGAGATTCTTGATAAAATTCAAAGAAGAATCTATCTTACATATTTATAAGTCTACCATTCATCCTTGTTTTGAATATTGCTGCCATATCTGGTCTGGTGCTTGTTCATGAACGCGTTCCATAAACATTTCAGAAAATCTCTTAGCCGAGATCGGAAGACTTTTAAGAGCGTTTTGCCTTTCTGATCACAAAATTGCATGACTGGATGATGGCAGGTCATATCTTCACAGATTTACGCACTTGAAAATTCTTCAGTCTGGAAACTTAAACGCTAATTGTCACTTTACAATATAAAACAAGTAAAAACAATTTCAGAGACAGGGTTAGGGTTAGTATAAAGATCAGATGTTAGGGTGAGGTTCGGACCGACAACTTTTCAATGCCAAATGCAAACAAAAAAGCAAATTCGTACTAACCACCTACAACCACATCACGACTCCAAAGACAAAACAATAACCCCTAACATGAAACTAATAAACTTTATTTCAATTATAAATTTAAAAAATAGCAAACAATCAGTCAAATAATGAAATAAGTATAAAAAGAAATATGAACAAAATTTTTAGCCATTGATATTTTGTGAGACTTATATGTCGTGAGAAATAGCATATATAGATATGTATATGTCTGCATGTGTAAGTGTATAAGTCTTTAACTTGATGATGACAAATATATATATATATATATATATATATATATATATATATATATATATATATATATATATTATATATAATATAATATATATATATATATATATATATATATATATATATATATATATATATATAATTGATTTGAATATATTGATAAAGTATGTACACTGTCTCTTTTTTCATTTTTTTTTTACAGAGAACAGAGAAGGTAAATAAAACAAAAAAATGAAGAACTTGTACAAGATAGATAAATAAAATAGAAAAATGAAGATAGATAGATAGATATGAAAAGACTGAGATAGATAGATAGATAGATAGATAGATAGATAGATAGATAGATAGATAGATAGATAGATATGAAAAGACTGAGAGATAGATAGATAGATAGATAGATAGATAGATAGATAGATAATAATGTGTTCCTATCATATTAAAAGCAAATTCATATGCTTGAAACACGAAGCGATACCCACGTTGTCTGAAGGGAAAGAAAAATAGATGGCGGTCTTTAGTATGGCGAAAAAATGCCAAAAGAAAAGGCGGGAAATTACAAATAAGGTGCACAGTTGGGGAGCGCGGTATGAGTTTGGAAAAGGACAATTAGCAATGTGAGTGTAAATGCGGAGGGTTGGCTTATTTTGCGAAAAGACGGACACGACAGAGTCGGGACATAAAACTTGTCAGTGTGTCTGGCGGTGCGTGAGGAATTGCAGGAATCGTCACAAGATTTGAAGCCTAATCGAGTTAAGCAGGCTTCGAGATAAGGAAGCGTCGACAGAGGAAGTTATGATAATGAGGAGCAAACATGGCGTCTTTTTCAAGTCGATCTATCTCTCTCTCTCTCTCTCTCTCTCTCTCTCTCTCTCCTTACATATATTATCAAAATTGAGAATTTATGTGTACACATATTATATATAGGTATATCGACGTCATATATATATATATATATATATATATATATATATATGTGTGTGTGTGTGTGTGTGTGTGTTTTGGGGGGCAAGAGAGTGAAGAAGGAGGAAAAAACCAATTAGGATAATGAGAGACAAATATAACATTCTTATGAAATTTCTCTCTCTCTCACTCTCTTTCTTTCTCTCTCTCTCTTTCTTTCTCTCTCTCTCTCGATACTTATCTCTCTATCTCTTTCTCTTATATATATATATATATATATATATATATATATATATATATATATATATATCTGAAAACAAGGTTGGTGTAGATGGAATAAACTTCCATTAACCAAATCCCTATAGAGCTGAGGGAATAATATTTATTTAAAAATTATAGCATATGCATATTATAACCTCACTACAAACACAGCCATTTTGGTTCAACACTTCTGGTGTCTTGTCAAGTGATGGTGTTACCAGTGATGGTGTCTTGTCAGGTGATGGTGCTGTTAGAACAACACCATCACCCGAGAAAATACCAAAAGTGTTGAAACAAAATGGCTATTTTTGCAGTGATGTTTGCGTACGCCTGGGACAAGGACAAAAATTGCCCTCAGCCCCAGCAACCGTCGGTTGCGCTGGTGTCGGTGCGAGCACCGATCCCTCCCTCTGGTGCAATGGGAGGACGCGGCCTCGGGCAGCTTTTCCCCACGGCTGGGCACCTCTCAGTATAATTTTCTCAGTTGCCCCTCCTTCCTTAGACAGAGAAGCCCCTGAGCGCCCTCTGCCGAAAGACAGAGACGCAACTGAGAGATGATAAGTAGATGTGTACCTACTCAAAAAGTGTGAGTTACAGACTTAATTTATACGCCCAAAGCGTATTTATCTGTGTTATATATTATTTACTTCTAGGAGATATCACTCTTCAGGTTTAACTAATTTGCATATTGATTTTAAAAAGTATATTTCATTAATTAACTTCATTAGTGTTCTTCAAGGGTTGTTTTGAATTTCATATCAAAAATAGTTCCGTTTAGGAATATTGTGTTATGTATGACAGAAAAGTTTGAAATTTGCATTTTACTTGGCTTTCAACAAGTTGGCATCTATTTGTAAAACTTTCCTTAACTACAACAAGCCAATTTATGAATGAAATGTTCATTTAAAATTTTTGTTTCAATTATTTCAAGTAGTGAATATATCTTACTTTGCGAAGAGGTAGCAAGGGAGTAAACCCTGCTAGTCCGCTAATAATTTGAGTTCTTTCATTTTCCTTTCTGACTGTACCATTACTATAAGTCCAACCGCTTATTTTATGAACGAATTATTGGCCTATTAGAGTCTCTTACCTTTTTTTCGCAAACTACAGGTTCTAATCAACGCCGAATTGGTTAAACGCCTCACTCTACACGGCCTCTGTTCGGATATGCAATATGATGCCCGTTTCTCCAAGTCTACCGCCGACCTGTGTGAATTTGTCTATCTGGCTTTATATAAAAACGGCGAAGCTCGGGTTGCGGCTTTAGATATCTCAAAGGAGTTCGACAGAGATTGGCGTGCCCGCTTTCTCCACGAGTCCAAGGACGAATATTTGGCTTAATCCCATCGTTCATAATAACTCCTGTAATGGAGGTCGTGTTGAAAGGACACGTGTCAGTTTCAATTTATTGAGGGATTTCCCCAGAGTTCTATACTTGGGATCACTTTGTTTTGCAACAACGACCTTACCGATATCATGAGGCATTTATGCTAATGACACAACTATTTACTCCTGTCTTAGTAGCAACTCCGACAAGTCCGACAAAGTCGAACTGGTAACTGCATTCGAAAAGGATCTCCAATCAGTGATTAACTGGGGCAAGGAATGGCTTGTCAGGCTTAGCGCTTCCAAAAAAAACTGCTTTCATTTAATCACTATAGAGATCTTTTTCTATCTACCATTAGAATGGCTGATGCTAACCTCCAGGAGAGATACTGTTTGTGCCTTCTTGGTCTCACGTTTTCCGCTGATATTAAGTGGAGTCATTATATTTGATCAATTGCTAGGTTTACTGCTTGGAAAGTTGGTTCACTGTGCTATGCCAGACAATTTTTCTTGTCAGAGTCTATCTTGCACATTTATAAATCTACCATTTGTCCGTAAATTGAATACTGTTGCCATATCTGGTCTGGTGCTTCTGCTTTATATGTCAAGATTCTTGACAAAATCCAACAAAGGATCTGTAATGTAATCGATCATGACCTGACATCAACTTCAGTCACTTTGCCATCGCTGTAACATGGCTTCCCTCTGTCTTTTCTGATGAGCTTTTACCCTTAGTACCTCGACTGCATGAATTTAAGCGTAGTACTAGATGGGCAATTAGGTCTCACCGTTTCACTGCTGAACTAGCCAGATGCAACCGTCTCTTCTACACTAATAGTTTCTTTTCTCGCGCTCCTCGCCTGTGGAACTCTCTTCCAGTTTCTTGGTTTGGATTCGTTTGTTTTATGGCATATCAACCTCAATGATTTTTATTGCTGGTAATATTTTTTCCCAAAATGTAATGCTGGTAATATTTTTGTCCCAAAATGTATTGCTGATAATATTTTTTTTTCTCTCAAAATGTATACCTGGTAATAATTTTTCCTGAGAAGAATTCTTGCTGGTATTAAAACCTATTTTTACACTTTCATAGTGTTTTGACCCCAGTTTTGGGGGGGGGGTAACTATTTGCCCATAGTTGGGACCCTAACAGGTGCTACCATCCCAGGCCAGGGTGGGCCTGAGGACACCATCAATTAAGAAGTGGTTCCACGCTCAAAATCTCCTGATCAGAGACCTTGCTGCAGGATGTAGTTTATCGTCTTACCCAGGACTCTCCAGTTTCTTGCTTGCCTGCCACCTATAATCTTCAAATTTTAAATGCAACGCCAATCACCATTATCTGTTTTCCTTATATCCTGATCTTTTATCGTTCTTTCTATTCATTAAAGACTTCCCATTCCCTTTCACTTGCAGTATCCCGTTGCGTCTTAGTGGCATTAACGCCTTGCTTGGATTGAAATGATTAAAAAAATCAAAGTAAATACCGTTAATATAAAAGATATATTAGGAATTGTTGAATTTTGGTAAAGCTGTTGCGACCTAGAGAGAATTTAACTGCTGGGCCCCACAGAGTAAAACACACCGATGGTTTTTTGCTTACAAATATGAACGCGTGTTCGAAACCTACCGGACATTTTCTTTATTAAGCTTACTTGAGTGTGGAGGCTGGTACATGTGATACTCATAGTTTAATAAACAGGACTTCTACTCACACACGGGTATCCACTAAAAGTAAGATTTAAAGTTTAAAAAATCCATTAAGTCATAAGATATTTGTTTTAGAATATAATCTCATTGATTCTCAACGGATTAACATATTTTCATTAATTGCATAAATGAAACATTATGGAGTGAAACTCTCAGATCTAAATTCTATAAGCAACGATGACGGGAAGTTATACTCTTTGATTTAGGTAGCATGTAAGTAAAAAATGAAGTAAAAGAAAGAAAGAAAAGAAAGAAAGAAAGAAAGAAAGAAAGAAAGAAAGGGTTGGGAAATAGGAAAATGGTAACAATCGAAGAAAGAAAGAAAAAACAAAAAACAAAGCGTTGAAGAAAGAAAGAAAGAAAGAAAGAAAGAAAGAAAGTACTGTGGAAGAAGAAAAATGGGCACGATCGAGGAAAGAAAGAAAGAAAGAAAGAAAGAAAGAAAGAAAGAAAGAAAGAAAGAAAGAAAGAAACAGTTGCGGAATAAAAAAAATGGTAACAATGGAAGAAATAAAGAAAAACAGAAAGAAAGAAAGAAAGCGTTTTGGAATAAGAAAAATTGGCAGAATCGCAAAAAAAGAAAGAAAGAAAGAAAGAAAGAAAGAAAGAAAGAAAGAAAGAAAGAAAGAAAGAAAGAAAAAGAAAGAAAGAAAGCGTTTTGGAATAAGAAAAATTGGCAGAATCGCAAGAAGAAAGAAAGAAAGAAAGAAAGAAAGAAAGAAAGAAAGAGAGAAAGAAAGAAAGAAAAAAGAAAGAATAAGAAAAATTGGCAGAATCGCAAGAAGAAAGAAAGAAAGAAAGAAAGAAAGAAAAAAAGAAAGAAAGAAAGAAAGAAAGCGTTTTGGAATAAGAAAAATTGGCAGAATCGCAAGAAGAGAGAAAGAAAGAAAGGAAAAAGGAATGTACTTACAAATAAAAAAAAACGACAGAAAGAAAGTTTCAGCGAATGAATAACAGAAATAGAAAATGAAATGTTAAAGAGTTCCAAAAAAAAAAGCTGATAATAAGCAAAACAGAATAAAATAAAGAGAAAAGTTGGAGGAAGTGATGTGGTTAAAGGAGAAAAAAAGTCTCACCTACGTGGAAACATGTGAAAAATATACTGAAGAAGAAAGGTAACATATATTTTGTTTAAAGAAATATCTTTAAAGTCCGAAGAAAAGAAGCAAAGAAAAGATGCCAAGCAAACAAAAAAATTCCAGAATAAGTAAAGAATAAGTGGTGAAAAAGAAAATAAGAGAAACTAAGAATAAATAATGTATTCCTAGCCTCGACGGTATTCGTAGAAAACGGCTTCGTTTGGGGACGAATATGTCTGCCATTCTCAAATCCTCGCCATTGGTTGGCTGGGATCTGAGAGATGCACTGGCAAGAGAGAAAAAAATGGTTTCTTTTTGCAATGTACAGCAGTAGAGACACGTGACCAAACACATGAACGTACACACACGCACACTCATCAGTTTAGATCGACATACGCGCATGCTCATATATAAATGTGCATACACACAGATATAAGATCAATGCATAAACCATAGACTTGAACATGCTAAAACACTAAGATGATATCACAAACACACATAAACACGCAATGTATTCCCAATCATATAAGCATATGTAGATGTTTGCACACATACACACACACATATATTGTTTATAATTGTCTATGTAGAAAGATGTATTGTGCTGCTATCTGAGATAGAACGTTTACAGATATTGGCAGTATGGAGATGGGAATCAATGACTGTCAGCTTCACATACAGCTACGAGGTTTGGTTAAAATGTTTATAGTCAGAGTGCATTGTTTATTTCCAGGCAAGAGGGTGGACTGAAAAATGCATAGGCTGACTATGAAGGAGTGATGCTAGAGCTGTGAAATCTTTCATGCATTCATTTCAACTCTTATTATTATTATTAATAACAGTAATGTTTCTTTCCAGGTACCAGGGTGGACTGAAAAGTTCATAGCCTGACTCCTGATATCCTCTGCCTTTACTAGATCCAAATCAGGTCGAAAATGAAATACTGCCCTCATATTTGGGCAGGATGTTCCCAGTCCTCTCTTTCCAGTCTCTATTGAGTCTAAAAGAATCTCCGCGGCCTTGTGGGCGACAAATTATTTTCCTTCCGAACAACCTCTTTTCACACAGACGAAATGTCGCAAATTTCTGGATGCTCTATCGCTGTTTTATGGAAATTACTTAGATGGACGACTTTCCTTTGTCCCACCAGTTTTAATAACGACAATTTACCCATCGCATACTCTGTGTGTGTGTGTGTGTGTGTGTGTATATATATATATATATATATATATATATATATATATATATATATGAAAATTTCTCCGATTTAACCAGTAGAGAAGACAATATTTATGAATAAAAATGACAATAGGAAAACTGGTAATGTTAACTTTATCAATACAAAATTTTGCTTTGATAAAGTCCACATTGTACGAAACGCGTCAGCAATTAGCAGTTTTCCTATTGTTATTTTTATTCATAAATATATATATATATGTGTGTAAAAGTGAACATTGAAGTCAACACTTATATGCTCATCGTCAAGCCGCCTGACAATTGCGTCTAGCATGAAACAGCCTGTCGCCTCTGAGTGTTGACTTCAATGTTCACTTTTATACTTATATTTGCATACGCTCTAACTCTGATACTGAGCACTTTATCCCATAAATATAGCACATCTTAAAACTATATTTCTTCATATATATATATATATGTGTGTGTGTGTGTGTGTGTGTGTGTGTAGGATGTGTTTCAATAAAAATTGTATTAATTCGAAAATTTTATGACTACACCAATTCTTGACCAAATGATCTCAAATTATTAATAGCATGTGTAGAAACAACTTAAATGTCTATGTTTTTTTTTTTTTTTTTTGCTTTTAACTTATAAAAATGCCACACACGGGGAAGGAAGGGCGTCTTGTGTCTTGTATGCTAACACTGTTGAATAGAACTGTGACGCATGCATTTTTGAGAGAATCCGCTATAAATGCACCAACTGCAATGCTGATTTGGACATGGGACAAAGCGTAAGGTTGTCTGTACAGGGAAAAAAGAATCAGAACGTCTATCGGTATCGGAAGAGATGGTCGAGCTGATTCGGGAATCATTTTTGTAAGGAACCATGATGTCTATAAGGTCAAATCTGGAAATTCCTCCAACAACAGTTTGGTGTCTCGCAAGGAAACGCTTTCGAATGACACCTTTCAAACTGCACCTTGTCCTGGCCTTAAAGACAATTAAAAGTGCAAGCAATTCAGTGTCACGATTCAAGAACAATTTGAAGAAGAACAGTTTGAGGAAAATTTTGTTTTCAGTGATGAGGACACATTTCGACAAGCATAATTTTCGTATTTGGGGCGAAGAAAATCTCCATTCCATCGTTGAGCCCATTCGGGACTCACATGTGCGTGTGTAGAAAACTTGTGACATCATTAATGAAATCCACATACCTGTAAATATCGCATTAAAATTTGGATGAATAAATTTTATGTTGCTCACTAATAAACTAGTTTCATTTCTGTAGCCTATGTAGTTACTCAGATAATTACATATCAAATTTTTGAAAGACATTGTATATATATATATATAAATTAGATGATGACCAGTGTCAAACATGGAAGAAACAAGAAACCTTATTCAGTAATAAAGGAAGGCAACAAATTCAAAAGGAAATTTCAAGTGGGTGCACATAAACCATAATACGTCTTCTGCAGCGACAAAAAACCTAAAAATTGCAATGTGCCAAATGCAAAAAAAACTGGCAAGATAAACCTCCTCATAGCCTCTACTGTGCCCGTACCAAACAAGCTGATGTACAAAAACTCCGTACCCATAAAACATTAAACATAGAATTTTGAGGTATTTCGAAATTTACGGTTAAAATTCTGTGAAGCCAATACGTCTGGAAACCCAGATTCTTCCAAAGACAGTTTGGCGTGTCATAAGGAAACGCTTGCGAATGACAGGCTACAAGCTGCATGTTGTCCAGGACTTAAAGACAGATGACAAGCAAAAGCATTTGTCTGTCGATGTGCAAGACGAATTTGAAGACCGTCTTCTTTTCAGCGAGGAGTCCATATTTAATACGAATGGTCCAGTCAACAAGCATAATTTTCCTATTTGGGGCGACAAAAATCCCCATTCTATAGTTAAGCACATGAGGGACTCACATGTGCGTGTGTGGAAAACTTGTGACGTCGTTCATGAAATTCACATACCTGTAAAAATCTCATTAAAATTTTGATGAATAAATTCTGTTTTTCACTCACTTTTTTTTTTCACCTATTTAGTTTCATTTCTGTAGACTATGTAGTTACTCAGATAATTACATATTGTTGAAATATCTTTTTATATATATATATATATATATATATATATATATATATATATATATATATATATATATATATATATATAAAAGGCTGAAACCCTAATATTCCTTGGTTATAATTCATTACATTGGAATCGTAAACACGATCCAATTCATCAGACCAAAAGAAATCAGAAAATATAACTCCGGGTATAAAAAACGAAATTTTGTTTTTTTATACCCGGAGTTATATTTTCTGATTTCTTTTTGAATTTGTCGGTCAATGGAATGAATTATAACCAAGGAATATTAGGGTTTCAGCCTTTTATATTATCTTCTTACCCTGTCCTGGACATTGAGTTCTATCTGGATTCTAGCCACTTGGGAATTTATATATATATATATATATATATATATATATATATATATATATATATATATATATATATATATATATAGGTGTTTTGGCTTGTAAATGAACAAAACCAATGCCCAAGGAAAATAAGGAATAAAAAGAAAGAACTAAGAACATATAATTCAGCTCAGAGTCCAAAGAAAAAAACCTCCAACACGACGATCCCGTAGGTGAAACCTGGGTAGGTTTGCGTGGCTCTTTGGGTTCATAGTTCATATTGACCACTAATATTATATGTTTATATATATATATATATATATATATATATATATATATATATATATATATATATATATATATATATATGACCACAAATATTATATATATATATAATCGACTCTCCCGTCGCGTTCGACGTATGAGGGTCAGGCCGATAAGTTTCCAGGAAACCGACATCCCGACACCGGCACATGAGATTTGATTATAGTGGTGAAGGCCTCGTGCAGGACCAGCCACACTTTTTGAGGGACGAATACAGAAACCTGGTGCACCGAATGCCACAAGGTTCCCAAACGACCCTCCGCAGGTTTTGAATTCAGAGTTGTCCTTCTCCTAGACCAGTTGCCATCCAAGGCTATAGAACCCAGTCTGTCCTGCTATTTTACCCATAGCTGGAGGGAGATGAAGAGGATTCATACCTTTCCCAAGGGTATTAGCACGTAAGTGAATGTAATGGATTCGACTGGAATTGAACTCGGCTCTGCGATTCCTCAGTCCAAGCCGCTATCCATTACTCCACCGTGCCTCCTCTCTCTCTCTCTCTCTCTCTCTCTCTCTCTATATATATATATATATATATATATATATATATATATATATATATATATATATATATATATATATATATTTATGTTTTCATTAAGATATATCACATTGAACAATTTAGACAAGTTTTGTCTACTTATTTTCAATAGGATTCTCTCATTCATGGACTAGTTTCTTAGTATTCTTATTAAAGGAAGAGAGAAAATTACCATGGTGATACATATTCATTTATTCTGAGTACTTTCCATTTTAGCACAATGGCATAATCAGAGGTTCGTTGTTTTTAAGACAAAAGTAGCGTGTTCATTTTTATTAACTTTTGTTGTATCAGTTGAAACAATGAATTATGAATTTTTGTGTATGTTTAAAACTCCGTAAATTTAAAAAATAAGCTGCTCTAATGTTCGCTTGAAGATGAAATGGAACTAATGTTTTTAATTTAATTACAAAATTGAAACATGGTTATTACTGTGTAGCGAAAAAACCATATTTTAAACCAGTTAATTTATAATATTTATGCTCTGTAAATTTTCATTGAGCACTGTTTTGTAAAAATAAAAATAAAAAATATCAATAAGGAACATCGGATTATATATCTTACTGTTCTTTTATATATATATATATATATATATATATATATATATATATATATATATATATATATATATATATATATATATAATAAAAAGAAAGAACAGTAAGATATATAATTCAGTGTTCTTATAGATATTTTTTTTACAAAATAGTGCTCAATGTAAATTTATAGAGCATTAATATTTTATATATATATATATATATATATATATATATATATATATATATATATATATATATATGCGGAGATAGATATGAATGAACAGAAGGAAGATATGACCAGATTACGACAAACATATAGGTAAGTACTTATTAAAATCAAGATAGATTTCACAAAGATTCAGGAAGATTGTGGTGGCTCTTTTTTTCATGCTTCTATAGGAAAACCTTTTAACTGTTGATATAGTTCCCTGAAATTCTGCCTTTTACCTTTGTTCGAACAGCGACCACTGGTGTCATTTTCAGACAAGTAACTTTGCCATTAAGCCAGCGAACGCGTTCACTACATTATCTTGAAGAGAGATGATTAAAATGTCCGTAAAAACAATAGCGTATGTCCAGTGGCAAGATGGTAAGTAAACAAGTTAAATAAACGTATTCGTACCGTAACAAATTTTTACTTTCCTTTTCTTGTTAGAGGAAAATAGAAACAGAGATATAGTCTAAAGTTACTTTAGATGCAGTCCCTCGGCGAATTTTCAGACACGGAAGACCAAAAAAAATATCTTGTATTATATTACTTTTCCTCTTGTTTGGTCTAAAAGTAGCAAATTGGTTTCGTTTCGCTTGTTTTTACAATTTCGTTTCGTTAGCTTTTGCTTTCATCCAACATTGTTGGGTTCTTGTTTTCACCCGTTCTATTCTTTTGTTTTCACCTTACTTTTTTTCGACATGTTTAGACGATTTATTTATTTATTTTACTTTAAGTTGCCCTGATGGTAATCACTTTCTTAAAACAGGTATGTTTTTTCACAGAACAGGTGTATATACATATATATATATATATATATATATATATATATATATATATAGAGAGATAGAGAGAGAGATACATAGATAGATGCATAAATTTAAATAGATAGATATAAAGATAGATTTGAACAAACTTTGCAATATCCATATATATATATATATATATATATATATATATATATATATATATATATATATATATATATTATCTAAATAACTAAAATAGATAGATATGAATAGAGATTTAAATAGACAGACACAGGGAGATAGACAGATCGATAGATAGAAAGATATAGATATATAGATAGATAGAGAGAGAGAGAGACATAGATTTAAATAGATAGATATAAAAATAGATTTGAAGAAACTTTGCAATATGCATATATATATATATATATATATATATATATATATATATCATATAAATAACTAAAATAGATAGATATGAATAAAGATTTAAATAGATAGATAGATAGATAGATAGAAATGGATTGAGATTTAAATAGATAAATAGTAATATATAGATTTATATGAATAGGGATTTAGATAGATAGATAGATAGATAGATAGATAGATAGATAGATAGATAGATAGATAGATAGATAGATATGTTATAGGGGTTTAGATAGATTGATAGATAGATAGATAGATAGATAGATAGATAGATAGATAGATAGATATGAACAGAGATTTTGAGTGATAGATATGAATAGAGATTCAAATAGATAGGCAGATATGAATAGAGATTTAAATAGATAGATAGATACTTAAAGATTGAAATATAAACAGATAGATATTGATGTGAAAGTCACTGCATAAATGTCCAAAACGTGAGAGAAATATTGAATATTTTTTCACTATACTAAAGTATGTGCATTATACTCTTACATCGTTAAAAAGTCCCTTAATCTTTCTATCAGCTTTATTCTTACTCGTATCTGAGTGAACCCAAAATGGAGTATTGTTGCTATATCTGGGCGGGAGATATCCAGTCCTCACTAAACAGCTTTAATAGGGTTCCACACCATTTGTGCTGTCTCATCTGCCGCCTCGTTCACACGAACGCGAGGGCGTCGCATGTTTATTGCTACTTGAGGCGACATCAATTCTTTAGTTCCACTCGCTTCGATCTTTTTTTTTTTTCAGGTAAGGACCGCCTTACTACTTCCGCAAGTTTGAATCAGCCTCATTTCCGACATATTTCTTTGGTTGGAAGGTTTGGTTTGGTTTGTTTTTATACGGCACATACACCTCAATTTAATGCCGACATTTTTTTCCCGGTAATATTTTGTTTTGTTACTCTCGCTCCAAATCTTCCGCAACCCCCTGCATCCTAGTGGCTTCACGCCTTGCTTGGGACGTAATGCTTAAAAAAAAAAAAAATCTATTTCTGGTAATATTTTTTTCCTCAAAAATGTATAGCTGGTAATATTATTTTAAAACATGTATTGCTGGTAATATTTTTTTTTCAAAAACGTATGCTGGTAATATTTTTGTTCAAAAATATATTGTTGGTAATAGTTTTTTTGTTTTTTTTTTAAATATATTGCTGGTAATAGTTTTTTTTTTAATATATTGCTGGTAATAGTTTTTTTTTAATATATTGCTGGTAATAGTTTTTTGTTTTTTTTAAATATATTGCTGGTAATAGTTTTTTTTTTAAATATATTGCTGGTAATAGTTTTTTTTTAAAATATATTGCTGGTAATAGTTTTTTTAAAATATATTGCTGGTAATAGTTTGGTTTTTTTTTTTCAAAAATATATTGCTGGTAATAGTTTTTTTTTTTTCCAAAAATATATTGCTGGTAATAGTTTTTTTTTTTTTCAAAAATATATTGCTGGTAATATTTTTATTTTTTCAAAAATATATTGCTGGTAATAGTTTTTCTTCAAAACTATATCTTGCTTGTGATAGTATTTTTTTTTTTTCAAAAATATATTGCTGGTAATAGTTTTTTTTAAATATATTGCTGGTAATAGTTTTTTTTCTTCAAAAACTTATTTCTAGTAATAATTTTTTACAGAGTACTTCTGGTATTAAAACCTATTTTTACACTTTTATAATGTTTTTTGCTTCAGTTTCGGGGTTAACTAGTTGCCCATAGCTGGGACCCTAACAGACGCTACCACCCCTGCTAAGGGTGGACCTGGGAACATCAGCAATTAACAGGCGGTTCCACTCTCCTCAAAACTACCAGATCAGAGGCCTTGATGTTGAACGTAGTTTATCGTCTTACCCAGGATGCGGATGTAGTTTATCGTCTTACCCAGGATGCGGATGTAGTTTATCGTCTTTCCCAGGATGCCTAGTCGGAAGGATGTTCCACCCAGAAAGATTAAAAACAAAACAAAAAAATACACTACTTCGTACAACAGATTCCAACGTGTATGATTTTTTGTTTGTTTGGTTTTTTTGGGGGGGGGTTCTTACTGTAAAAAAACAGGGAGCCACTCGAGGTAGATGTTTACAGAGTAAGAGGCACAGTTTATGCGGATATGTGGCGAAGATGACCGTTAATCCTGGACTTAAGATTAAGGATAAGATTGTAATGATCTGGAAGACACTCTCTTGGTAGTTGGTTTCACAAAGCAGCGGTTCGCGGGAAGAAGCTGCTCGTGTGGAATTTACATCTCAGCAGCGGAACACGGGGGCAATGAGGATGCTTCACTACAATGGGTGTGGCATGGCGGGTCAAAGCCATTAAGGTTTTAACTGGTGGAACTAGGAAATCGCCTAAGCACTTTCCATGAAAATAGCGATCGAGCAGCGAAATTCTTACATTTCGTCTGTAAAAAAGGGCTTGTAGGGTGAAAAATAATTTATCACCCACAAGGCCGCGGAGATTCTTTTAGACTCAATCGAGACTGTAAAGAAAAGACTGGGACGTTCCTGCACAAATATGACAACAGTATTCACTTTTCGGCTTGATTTGGATCTAGTAAAGGCAGAGAATATCAGGAGTCAGGCTATGAACTTTTCAGTCCACCCTGGTACCTGGAAAGAAACAATACTGTTATTAATAATAAGAAGAGCTGAAATGAATGCATGAAAGATTTCACAGCTGTAGCATCACTCCTTCATAGTCAGCCTATGAACTTTTTAGTCCACCCTCTTGCCTGGAAATAAACAATGCAGCCAGACTATGAATATTTTAGCCCACCCTCTTAGCTATATGTGAAGCTGACAGTCACCAAGCCGCATTGATTCCCATCACCATACTGCCAATATCTGTATTCCATTTTCGACCTGACCTGGATCTCGTAAAGGTATAGGATAGCAGGAAACATGCAAAGGGTGCGATGGATAAATTGTCGCTATATCTTATTTTTAATTTTACGCATGCGCGTTGTTTGTTTTTTTTTTATTTTGTCGACTGCACAGTATAGTAAGGTCATTTGCTCACTGTCTGTGAGAAAAAGAGCACCATGGCACAATTCACTCAGAATTTTTGGAAACGGCATTCCGTACTGCTTGGCATTTCAGTGTGTTTGGATTCAATCTGAGGACAGTGCAGAGGACTCAGAATGAGTTGGATGAGTCTAATAGTGATTACGAAGGTACAGGAGCTCGGAAAACTCACTCTGATCGTTCTGATAAGAAAAAAAAAACTCTAGAATTTGTTGTCGAGGGCCTCATTTTCAGCACGGAGGTCTATATAAAGTGATACAGGTTGTGCTGCTCTATGTCAAGAGGGTGGCAACAAGACATAGTATCATACCACGCAAGCAGGGGAAACCAATCTTGACTGTCAGATAATCTTTGCGACCGCATCACCCCTTAAATCTGATCACATTAACTCCCCAAAAAGCAACCCCCTTGATTATTATGTGTGGAGCGCAGTTGAGCCAGAGCCCAACAAAACTCCTTAACTCCGCCAGAATTTTTGGAAACGGCAGACTGTACTGCTTGGCATCCGCGGCGGAAAACTTCAATACGAACATTTCAGTGTGTTTGAGTGTCAATGTGAGGACAGTGCAGAGGATTTGGAAAGAGTTGGATGATATATCCATGGGGTCTGGAGTGATCACTGCTGATGGCGACGTTATGACTATATTTATGTTCCCACAGTGGCTCAGACTCGACACAGAGGCCTACATCAAGATGGTGGCTACTGAAATACTCTATGTCTGACTACAGGACACTGCACCATGTCAAAATGTTGGCTACCCAGTCATGGCAGTCAGACAATTTCTGCGATCACATCACTTACCTCGCCTCTTAACTCTCCAGCTGTACCCCTCTTGTTTATTACTCTGTGGGAGTAGTTGAGCGAGAGAGCAACAAAACTCCTTGTAACACTAAAGATGAACTGAAGGCAAGGATTATGGCAGCATTCACCAACTTAAACAGGGAGACTGCCCAAAAGATAGATAGATAGATAGATTTAGATAGATAGATATATAGATAGATTTGAGCAAACTTTGCAATATGAATATATATATATGTATGTATGTGTGTGTGTGTGTGTAACATAAATAGATGATATGAATCATTTATCTAAATAGATAGATAGATAGATAGATAGATAGATAGATAGATATAGATAGATAGATAGATAGAAATAAAGAAAGAAACAGACTGAGATAGATAGATAGATAGATAGATAGATAGATAGATAGAAAGCTTTAAATAAATGCGCGTGTGAAATCAGACTAAATAATATAAATAGATAGATATGAATAGAGATTTAAGTAGACATAGATAGATAGATAGATAGATAGATAGATAGATAGATAGATAAAGAAAGAAACAGACTGAGATAGAAAGATAGATAGAAAGAAAGAAAGAAACAGACTGAGATAGATAGATAGATAGATAGATAGATAGATAGATAGATAGATAGATTTTTTGGCAACGGTAGGCTGTACTGCTTGGCATTCGCGGCGGAAACTCCAATACGAATATTTCAGAGTGTTTGGTTGTCAATCTGAGGACAGTGCAGAGGATTTGGAAATAGTTGGATGATATATCCAGTCAACATCATTGGGTCTGGAGTGGTCACTGCTGATGGCGACGTTACGTCTATATTCATCTTCCCACAGTGCTTCAGACTCGACACAGAGGCCTACGTCAAGATGGTGGCTACTGAAAGACTCTATGTCTGACAACAGGACTCTGCACCATGTCAGAAAAGCAGGCGAACCCTGTTGTGGCTATCAGATTATTTCTGTGACCACATCACTCCTTTCATCTATCCACTTAACCAGTAAAGCGAAAGACCAACAAAACTTAGGACAGTGCAGAGGATTCGGAAAGAGTTGGAAGAGTCTAGTGGTGATTACGTATACTTCTGTCCATCTTCACACATGAACTCAAACTCAACACAAGGGCCTATATGAAGTACCTTGAGGATGTCGCGCTGTCTGGGTCAAAAGGGTGGCTGCTGGAAGACCATATGCCCTGCAGCAGGACTCTGCCCTATGTCACAAAAGCAAAAGAACTCATCCTGTCTGTCAGACAATTTCTGCGACCACATTACCTCTTACATCTGGCCACCTAACCCACTAGACTTCAACCCGCTTGATTATCATGTGTGGGCTGCAGTTGAATGAGAGATCAACTAAACTCTTTGTAACACTAACGATGAACTGAAGGCAAGGATTATAGGAGCATTCACCAACTTAAACAAGGAGATCGCTCAGAAGAGATACAAGAGATTTTGATGTCGTCTGTAGGCCGTGGTTGAAGCTAATGGCGGTTTTATTAAATAAATTTACTCTCTCCAAGATATTTTTGTGTAATTTTGGTAAATATATCTGTTAGAATGACTTGTCAGTGCTATTTTCAGTGTTGCCTCATTTAGACGACAATTTATCCATCGCACTATGTATTTGTCGGTCTGGGCAAATGTTTTCAATGACGAAAATTCTCATCATTATTCTTTTGGTGATAGAGACATCACAATTATTTACTGCTGACTGGAGTATTAGTTGTTTAGTTTTACTATTGAGCATAAGGGAGAAAATGCAAACTCGTATAATTGGTTCATATCGATCTCTGTTCATATCTATCTATCTATCTATCAGTCTGTACATTCTATCAGTCTATTCATTATCTATCTATTTATCTATCTATCTATCAGTCCATTCATTATCTGTCCACATATCTATCTATCTAGTCTATTCTATTATCTATCTATTTATCTATCTCATCTATTCATTATTTATCTATTTATTATCTATCTATATATAGTATATTATCTATATATATATATATATATATATATATATATATATATATATATATATATCAGTCCATTCATTATCTATCATATCTATCTATCTATCATTATCTATTTCTGTTCATATTTATCTATCAGTCTATTCATTATCTATCTATTTATCATCTATCTGTCCATTCATTATCTATCCCAGTCTATATCTATCTATCTATCTATCTATCTATTATCTATCTATATTTATCTATCTCAGTCTATTCATTATTTATCTATTTATTATCTATCTATCTCAGTCTGTCATCTATCTATATTATCTATCTCAGTCTGTTATCATATCTATTCATTATCTACCTATTTATCTATCTTAGTCCATTCATTATATCTATTATCATATTTATCTATTCTTTATCTATCTATCTATCTATCTATCTTAGTCTATTCATTATCTACTTACCTATTGTTACCAAGTAATAAACTGACCCCCTACTTAATGCCCAATCAAATCTTATCTACATTTTTAACTTATTTATATAGAAGATGGAATAAACTGATAGACGAAAAGTTATTAGTCTATTGTAACTAGGTTTCTCAAAAAAGAAACTTGCATAATACACGAGATACATGATAAGATCTGATGTAACGAATATGCATACAGCTGGGTTCCCCCTAACAGTAATATGATTCGCTGGTGTCAGCCATAAATACAGACTGATGTGGAGATACAGGACGACGCCTTTTCGCTACGCCTATAGTCTTCGCCTATTGCCTACCACTACGACGAGGACCAGTCCATTACGGTTACCTGTTAGATTGTCCTACCCGGGCTGCCTCTGACTCGACTCTTGACTCCACTTGAACTACTGACTCAACTTAAACTACTGACTATATTTAGTCACCCCCCCCCCACGTGAGCATCATGGGGCACAAGGCCGGATTAACGTGGGATCTTCGAGCCCGTGGGCTCGGCCAAAAATATGCCCATTGAACCCGTATAAAGGGGTTCAGGGTCGGTTTACCTCCCCGAAAGAGACTTCGCCTTTCGACGTAGCCTCGTTCGGGTTCCTCCCCGCCCGAAGGCAGAGAGTTCAACCGAACAGCCGGTCAGGAGGTGAAGGACTGACGATATTTAGTCACCCCCCCCCACTGGGGCATCATGTGGCACAAGGCCGGTTATTTAATGTGGGATCTCCGAACCCGTGGCATAGCCTCCTTCGGGTTCCTCCCTGCCCGAAGGCGGAGAGTTCAACCTAACAGCCTGTCAAGACTTGAGCGACTGACAATATTCACTCAAAATGGGGCATCATGTGGCACAAGGCCGTTTTTAATGTGGGATCCCCGAGCCCGTGGGCTCGGCCCAAAAATATGCCCATTGAACCCGTATAAACGGGCTCAGGGCCGGTTTACCTCCCCGAACGATACTCCGCCCCTCGGCGTAGCGTACTTCGGGTTCCTCCCCGCCGGAAGGCAGAGAGTTCAACCGAACAGCCGGTCAGGACTTGAGCGGCTGACTCCCTGCCTACTCCTGAGGCGCAGTATTTATTAAGTATGGAATAGTCCATTATTATTATCATGGGTAAGATCCCATAATAATCATTTTCCCCAAGCAAGTCTGGAGTGCCACTACTACGCAGGGGTGGGGTACAGGGAGTGGAAGTGAGAGAAAAGACTGAATATAGGGAGAATTGAAGAAAGGACAAAGGTTGAACGGGATTCACAAAAGAGAGAACATGGCAATTGATGTGTTTTTGAATATTGTAATTATCAGGGAAATAAGTGAACGGAATGAAGTTACACAGCCGAGAAGTGCGAGAAAATGAACTGTTGGGGTAGACGAGGCGGTTGCGTTTAATTATTTCAACAGTAAACAGGTGGGACCTAGATGCCAATCTAGTAGCACGCTTAAATTCATATAGTCGGTGAACCAGGGGAAAAAAAAGTTCGTCACAGCAGTTGCCATGGAAATAGATAAGACTGAGGGAAGCCACGTCTCGTCGCTGAAAATATGACTGAAGTCGAGATGCCAAGTCAGAATCGATTATATTACAGATCCTTATTTGGATTTTGTCAAGAATCTCCAGATGAATAGCAGAAGCCCCAGACCTGGATATGGAATCAGTATTCAATTTAAGAACGAATGGTAGATTTGTAAATTAACTTAATAATTTTCTGGCACAGTAGCCGAACATTCCTTGCAGTAGATGCAGCTATTGATTCAATGTAGTTGTTCCACTTGAAGTCAGTTGAAAAACGTGAGGCCAAGAAGTGAGTTGTTCTCGAGGAGTCTAGCTTCCGCTATCTTGTTGGCAGGATGCGGTAAAATTTACAAGCCATTTCTTGCACCAGTTTTTAATCATTTCACTCCTGCCTTACTCTATTGCCTGTCTCACACTATTGCCTGTCTTACCCTATTGCCTGCCTTACCCTATTGCCTGTCTTACCCTATTTTATAACCTGGTGACAGACAGAAAAAGTACTTTATGGTGGTTAAAAATAAAGCAGTTTAAAAAAATTACAACTTTATTTGTATTTGCGATAGTAATAATCTTTAAAAAGTTTAATTATAAAGTTTAATGTACCTAGTTTAGCTAAAATAACTAATGTAATTTCAGGCATTACTGTTAATCAGTTAGCAAATATTTTCTGTTAATTGCAAAATCGTATTAACCTTTGTAGTGCTTATGACGGAGGACATGTGTAAACTTAAATAAAATGTCGATAAAACGTTAAAACATATAGATTTACATCTTTATATGCCTTTTTACAAATTATTTCTATCGCATATACAAATAAAGTTATAAATTTTAAAGTGCACACGAACTTTATGGACACCCTCTGTGTATATATATATATATATATATATATATATATATATATATATATATATATATATATATATATATATATGGATTCCGGGTTGAAATCCGGTACCAATAAATAACAAACGCCAGGAATGAATATACGAAAATAATGTATTAACGTAATAATACAAACTGGTAAAGCAGGTTAGTAGTTCCAGGAATACGGGTTAGTAGCAATATATATATATACAGTCTTTGGTATTGAAGTATCGCTGTATGACTTCTTGCTGAGTCTACGTGCTCGCTCACTGTGACTCCTACAACGCTGTTACCTCACCCCTCACTCTTCCGGTTACCTACAATCTTTTACTCTGTCACTCTGGACTCGACTCTCGCTTCACTGGCAGTAGTATAAGTATACACTGGGTGAGCCCATTTGTATAAAAAGGGGTGGACCCCTCAACATACATATATATATATATATATATATATATAATTATTTATTTAAAAATATGATACCAACGCTACATAAGAGTTCTCATGTTTCAAAACAAGAGCACTATTTTTTTAAAATAATAACAAAAATACTAAAGAACTTTGGATTATTTACCTAACGAGTTCTTTCGTATTTTCTATATATTTTACACACACACACACATACACACACACACATACACACACACACATACACACACACAGGCACACACACAGGCACACATGTTGGTTTCTTCTGTCCATAATACTCTTTCCTAATACGATTTTCCCTTATCCTTGTGTTCACGAACGAATTTCAATCTAGCATCTCTGTGTTTTTTTAATAGCGTTGAGGTTTTCCAAGGGGGAGCCTGACTTTAGATTGTTCCTATTAATTTCTTTGCTTATTGTCCGTTTAGTGACACAGATTCCTGATGAAAGCAAATCATCCTGCAACTCTTGGACTTTGTTTAATTTGACGCATTAATTTCTTCGAAGTCTTAAAGAAATCTTCCGTGGAGCACCTGTTCTTCTTTGGTTTTCAACGGGTTTAACTTTTTTTTAAAACCTTGCAATGAATGAACAAAATGGAATATTACGGTTGTCTGAGATTTTACGGTAACTTTTACTTTCTTTCCAGAGCTTAACAATCAGTTCTTTTTGCGAATTTGTCAGTTCTTTACCTCTTGCTATGATGAAAACCTTCTTGCACGAATATCAATTAAAAATGTTCTCTTTGCATTTTTAGGCTAAAAAATAATTACTAATACCATTATTGGAACATTCTTGAATATCTACTTGAATATTCTAGAGTATTAAAGCAATTTAAATGTTTTAAAATCTGAAATTTGCATTGTACGAATACTTTTTTCACCCATTAAAGTGGATAAATGGGATTTATTTGTATTAAATCATTTTTTCTGTTTTCTCTGCATATTTAGTTATTATGCATGTGTGTACAGTCAATTACATTAAAAGTATGTTTATGCATTAGTTGGAAATACAATAAATTATAAAAATTGGTGCTGGCAGCGTAAAGGTTTGGGAATGTTTTTTTCTGCAAAAAGTACTGGCAAAATATCAGTAAAAGATGGTAGAATGAATGCAGCAGCATATCAAAATATTTTGAAAGCAAATTTAATGATTTCGGTTGAAAAATTTGAACGTCCTCCTGATTGGATCTTCCAGCAAGATAATGATCCTAAGCACACTGCAAAATCTACGAAGAAATGGCTTTCTGAAATTAATGTAAATATCCCGAAATGGCCAAGTCAGTCCCCAGATTTAAACCCAATTGAGAATCTGTGGCGTTATTTGAAAATTCAAATCCAATCGAAAGTTCCAACAAAGATCCAGAATCTGAAGACCTTATGCGAAGAAAAATGGAACAAAATATCAACTAAAATTAACAAATCATTAATTGAGAAGAGGTTGGTTGCTGTAAATTGAAGATATATATATATATATATATATATATATATATATATATATATATATATATATATATATATAGTCGGGGAAAAAACGTTATTTGAAAATTCAAATTCAATCCAGAGCTCCAACAAACATCTTGGATCTGAAGACCATATGCGAAGAAAAATGGAACAAAATACCAACTAAAATTTGCAAATCATTAATTGAGAACTCCAGGAAGACGTCGGTTTCTGTAGAAGTGAATAATGGCTATTCTATAAAGTAATAAATGAGGATTATGTTTTCCTTTTCGTAATGAACGAATACTTTTTCAGCGATTAAAATCAATGAGTAGGATTTATTTCTACTGAATCAAATTTTTGGGTGTTTTCTGTGCATATTTAGTTATTATGTATTTGTGTACAGTTAATTATATGAAAAATATGTTTATTCATTATTTGGAAATACAATAAATTAAAAATTTATACGTATATATTTTTCCCTAACGATATATATATATATATATATATATATATATATATATATATATATATATATGTGTGTGTGTGTGTGTGTGTGTGTGTGTGTGTGTGTGTGTGTGTGTGTGTGTGTGTGTTATTCGTTTGTGACGCTAGTCAACAGCAACAAGCACTTGTACGTAATAAAGAACGAAGTCATCCTTGGTCCTGATTATTTAGATGGATAGATAGATAGATAGAAGAAGATAGATAGATAGATAGATAGATGTT